TATAATCAACAGCCGAAGCTAAAATGAAATTTTCAACACCAAAAATCCTTTGATCCTCCTGAGCATGTTTTGAATAAGTTTAGAAAAAAAAAAAGAAAAAAAAAAAACCCTAATTTTTGAGAAGAGAAAAACTTAATGCAGAGAAAATAATTAAAGAGCTTGATGCAAAAACGGCTTCTTTCGNCCCCCCCCCCCCTGGAAGTTCTTCAGACTTTGTCTATTGATTACTCATACTAGAGCGCTTCTTTTCCCAAATTTTCAGACTCCCAAAAAATTTTGGGGGGGAGCTAGGGGGGGGGGTGGAAGTCAAAACCTGTGAACCTCGATATCTCTTGAACAAAGAAAGATATCGAGGTCCGGTTTGGACAAAAAATCGTCTAAAATTGCATACTTTAAGATTCTAAAGGTCGAAATCCCGATATCACATTTTTAAGTCAACATATGTGCTTTTTTCCAGTTTTTAGGTCTAGAAAATTTCCTTTAAACAAAAAATTTACAAATATCTCAATTTTTTATTTGAACCAAAACCAGTTTTTTAAATTGTTCGTCTTTTTCCGCATCCAACGAGTGGTCCATTAAGCTGGGGAACCAAACGGTTCCGGAGTTATGATCGATTGAAGTTTCCGCTCAACGCGCGCCGACCGATTTTCGCGCGCAAAAAAGTCGGATTTGACTGTTATTAGATCAGATTGAATGTTCAAACTGAGCAAAATGCTTTATTAGGGACTCTTGAGGGTCGCTGAGTTCAGAAATTACAGATACTTCCAAATAATTTACGTTTTTAAAATTACAGCTCCGCAGCGCTATTTTAGAGGCCCACTGAGCGCCGACCGGTCGCTCAGTGGTCCTGTCCGAAGCTGCAATTTTAAAAACGTGAATTTTTTGGAAGTATCGGTAATTTCTGAACTCATCGGCCCTCAAGAGTCCCTAATAAAGCATTTTGCTCAGTTTGAACATTCAATCTGATCTAATAACAGTCAAATCCGACGATCGAATCAACTACAGGTATTATGCGTAGGAGGTCAAAACGCCTTCCATTTTTTGAACGCAATACGGACATCCGTCGAGGTTGTATAGTTGTATCAAGGCGCCGTAGCAAACGCGTCCCATTGTTTATCGTCACATACGAATATAAGTTGAGAGAGGCCAGTCATAATGCCTTCAATTTTATACATACATATTTTTGGGCAAAATGAGAGACGACGATCCTCCATTTGCGACGTTGCAGACTTCCTTAGAAATTTTTTTTTTTTTTTGAGACGCTGGTAAACATAAAACTTAAATTATCCATGATTTTTCGTATTCGATAGCGGAAGATTTGGTCCAAAATTGAAAGTCGTAAATTTGGATTGTTTCTCATGGAAGAGATGAATTAAGGACGGAAATTTTGAAACATCGCAATGGAGAAGCAGAAGATTTGGTTCAAAATTATATGAGCTTTGGAAGCAGACAGAGATGCAAAAGCCACACAACTGTTGTACCTCAAAATATTGGTCATGAAAACGGGTTTGGAGAAGAGGTCCGGAAGTTGGTCTTTGATTTCAGGCTCGGCAAGTCTGAGAAGACCATTATGACAACATCTGTTAAAATGGACGTTCACCTCCTCTTTTTTGAAATGCAAGGCATCACAATACTGGCACTTCACATTTAAAAGTCCGAAATTATTTTCCGGAATAATTTCATTTTTCCAGATTATAAATTTAAATTGTTATTAAATGATGATAAATTCAAAATTCCAATTCCAATTTCCAAAATTTCAGAGCATGTTATGTTCAAAATTTATTGTCAATTCAAGTTGCTATTCAATTATAATAAATAACTTGAACGTGGTTGTTCAATGATTTCTTACGAGCAGTTCCCTTTCAGTGTGTAGCGGTCGCGTAGCGGCCTCAGGCCCCTAATGAGAGTATAAACCCAAAATATATCGCAAAATCTACCCGGCATCCTTCAATAACACGCTGGGCTTGTCGATTTCCTTTGACATTTTTGCAGTGGTGAAAGCATAGCTGAAGTGCGCTCCAGCTAGAATTGTATTTAGCAAATGGGTGGTTTTTATTTGCGGATTAAAAATAAACATGTGGTACGGAACAAAAAAAAAGAATATGAACTATATAATGGACCGTAGGTTGATTTAAATTTCTGACCGAACTGTTTTCTAACGCTTCCGTCAAATAAAACACAAATTTATTGAGTTGCATTAGCTCGTAAAATCAGTCATTCTATTGATTTTGTGCTCCAATTTCCTGCGAAACTACAAACCTTATCTAAACTTGGCTGTTTTGTAAACGCCTTCAAATGCGGCGTGATACCTCACGCATTCCGGAGAGTTGAAATAGTTGTATCATTGCGCCTTAGAAATGCGACGGCAGATTACAATTGAAATAGCCTTCATACACGCTAGTCTTGTCAATTTCCTTTGACATTTTAGTAGTCGTGAATGCATAGCTAAAATGCGCTCCAACCAGAAGTGTATTCAGCAAATGAGTAGTTCTTATAGGAGGATTGAAAACAAACAAATGGTAGGAAATAAAACATAATAACAAGAACTTTGCAAAACGATAATCCGGGTATCGGAACTTCGCTCTTTTGAAAACGCCTTCAAATGCGGCGTGACACCTCACACATTCCGTAGAGTTCAAATAATTGTATCATTGCGCCTTAGAAATGCGACGGAAGATTATAATTGAGAACACCGCACCAAGAACAGCCTATAGGCGTATAGGTCGTTATTATGCCCATCTGCTTTTCGGATTCTACGTACTCTGGACTATGCTGTGGTAGCGATAGAATATAGATAGGTAACGGCTCGAGGTCGAAAAACCTTTTTTTTCCGAGTTAAGTCAGGCCTCTGGATCGATGGGTGCAAGAACGACCTATGAACGGGCCTATAAGGTGCTAGTTACCCCTAATTTTACTCATTATCGATATTCTTTCATTTTGCATTAATCATGCGTGATTAAAATGATTTATACTTCATATTGCCACCAAAATGACCGTTGGGCGTAATAATGGCCTATAAACCGCTTTTTTAAATGAAATATATGAGAGTATAAACCCAAAATGAATCGCAAAATCTACTCGGCATCCTTCAATAGAAGGGTTAGGTCACCCAAATACACCAAAACAGGGTACCTGCATAGAAAAGTCTGCGCAGTTCATCAAAAACAAAACTATAAATGCGTTTTTCTCAAAACGCAGTTTCCAATTATAGGCTGTTCTTGGTGCGGTGTCCTCAGTTAGTCTATTTTTCATTAAAAGAAATGAATTACTAATGATAGGAATTAAAAAAAAAGAGCAGGTTTTAATTTTGAGTTATTTTATTCAAGGTACCAGCTTTTCACATGTGCCTAATTCAAGGAACATGAAACAAAATCATCTTCATTAGGTCACCCGCAAGTTGCCTGATTTTCTAAAAAAAAAAAATCAGGCTCATGAAAAAACTGAGTAAAATCGCTTTTGAAATATTGTCCACATGTAGCACGTGATAGAGTGGCGTGGCTGAAGATAGGTAAGAATTAGACAAACACAAGCTTCAGTTAAGTATAAGTGAGCGTGTATTGATCATCAAAAAACAATATTTATACAAACAGCGTGGTCACGAGCTACGGCCAATGTCTCTGGTAATTACTCTATGTGCGGCCAAACGCCGTCTAAATGAGAAATATAGAGTAAACAACTATGAGCGAGAGGAACACCTTCAATTACCGAATAGGCAACATACTGATACAACAGCAATAATGGGTCAGTTACACTAGTCTTAGAATCATGTTTTCATCGTCTGATTTGTAAGCTTACATAGATTAGCAACAACAGGTGTGTATACGATTCGTCCAAACACCTAATTTCTATGACCAATAACAACGGAGATATCACTCAGCGGAAAGCGCAGCGTATGACATCATCCGCCGCGTTAGTGCATGGATTCTTCCACTTAAGCTTTATCCATGTTTTAGGTACCTTGAACGACCAGTGCAAATAAGAGTATAATTGATTGATAAAACTAAAATGAAAAACCAATGTGTGCACTGCCGCGGCGGATGATGTCATACCCCGTGTTTTTTTCATGTGCGTCTGCCTCCATTCATATTGGACGTAGACTTTTGCGTCTAGATAGATTTTTATCTTTCATTTTCTTAGCCAATCCATAAGCTGCCAAGATCTGGATACGATTCTATGACCAGCGTTACTGATCATTTTAGAATGGTTCGCACCAGGGCCGGATTAAGGGGGCTGCCACATGGGCCGCGGCCCATGGCGACAAATTTTGCAATTTTTTTAAATGTAGGTATAAAAAAAATCGGAATCAGAAAAAAAATTATCAATGAGAAAAGGGGACAAAATCTCTCCTTCCTGAGAGTATAGTAATTTCTAATTTTATCGTCTTTCGGTGATAAAAGAGACAGCATCTTTAATTAGTCGAGTTAAGAGAGGAACTAAACACGCAATTTGGCCTGGAGCTCAGCGCAGAGAGGAATGATGACGAGGACTTGAGATGAAAAGGACTGCGGTCGATATGTAACACATATTAGCGCCTACAAGACTGCATGAATACTTCACTCATTGCGTCAAACACAGTGCGCCGCGCCGGTCAGGAGCAGTTGGCGTGAAACGCGTAGCGCCTACAAGACTGCTGGAATACTTCACGCAGTGCGCCAAACACAGTGCGATGAACCCGGAGCAGCGGCGGAAGTTAAAATTATTTAACCACATTTATGTTTGTTCTTTCAATTTTTTCGTTCATTTCTTATAAAAGGAGGACCTTGTTCACGCAGAGATATGTTTACGGAACTGAACTTTCGCGCTAAGTTCCGTGAAATTTTCCTAGTAGTGTTGACAGGGCTTTCGCAAAAAATGTACTCAAAATGTACCTGTCAGGTAAATTCGTCTTATGCACCCCCCCCCCTCCGGCACGTTCACTTGATGGTTTTTATTGATGTTTCAAAACGAATGAGAGGGGGGCGGCAAAAAACAGGCGGCCCATGGGCGGGAAGTGGGTAAATTCGGCCCTGGTTCGCATAAAAAATAAAAACATCCAATGAGACCTGATTTGTAAAATTTATTGCCAATTGGACTTTCCGCGGGATCCAACTGGTGAAAGCGGGTGGTTTCAATGAACTAAGGGGGTTGGTACTTAATAGGCTAACTGACGGCAACCCAAGAGAGACCCTATGGTTAGTCGATCATTTTCTCCGTTAGTCTATAGGAAGCAGAAGCGGAGCGATTTCAAGGAAGAGGATGGCTCCACATTGGGTCATGTCTTCTTTGGCTATGGATTTGTCTACGAATTTGAAGAATGAGGCGGTAGTGGTATTTGGGATGCTGCCGGTGGGTGAGCCACGTTGTGTGGGCGGTGATTCCTGGGTGCGCTTATCCCCAAGCGTTCCAGGGCTTGGAGGAGGGTTGCCAGTGGGCGGTGGCGGGGTGGACGGCGAGCTGGGCCTGTTTGTGGATGGCGGCGGAGGCGGCCTGGGATCGTTGGATGGCGGCGGCGGTCGCGGCTGCGGCCTCGGAGCGTTGGAGGGCGGCGGCGGCCTGGGCGGCGGCTTCGGTGCGTTGGATGGCCGCGGCTGCCGCCTCGGAGCGTTGGATGGCCGCCGCCGTGGCAGCGGCCGCCTCGGAGCGCTGGATGGCGGCTGCGGCTGCCGCTTCCTTCGCCGCCGCGATCCGCTGTTGCACGAGGACCGCCTCCTTGGCCGCCTGCACGCGTTGCTGCGCCACCGCGGCTGCCGTCGAGGCCTCTTTCGCTGCCGTCAGGGCGGCTGCTACTTCGGCTGCGTTGATTGCTGCTACTCCGTTCAGGGCCGATGTGTGAGCCACCGCCTGCCAACAAACACATCCCAATCACAAATCCTCCTCGGATCAGGACCTTCCATCCACCTGCCATGCATCCACCCAGCCGTTAGCTTAGCTTAGCTTGCATTAGATTAGGTTAAGTAGGTTAGGTTTCGTTAGGTTAGGTTAGGTTAGGTTAGGGTAGGGTAGGTTAGGGAAGTTACATAAGGGTGGATGCATCGCAGGTGGATGCAAAGTCACGCACTCAATCCTCCTGTCCCGCAGCCTCAAGAAACATAATTGGACGCATTTCTGTCGAACGGAACTTTGTGGCATTATGACGTGAGCCCTCTTATGCATATATTCTCATCCGTCTCAGGGCTCATGGCTTAATGCACATATTTCTGTTCGGCAGAAATACGTCCGATTCGTCGTTTCCCGCACGAAGGAACGTAACTCCATTCCAACTTTGCCACCTTAACTCAGGCAATTCAATTTTTCACCAGAATCTAGCCGTGCAATAAATTGTCCAAATTATTTCCTATTTTTGCATAAGCTCAGAGGAAAAATTAGTTACATTTTCAGTCAGAAATGCCCAGGATTCCTCTAGTAAAAATACAATTTGCAATAAGGGAAATTTGGCAACATTGAAATGTAGCTCAGTTCTTTCCAAAACGAGAAATAGTATTCCGATGTTGCAAGATGAACTCTAGCACTTTAATTTTTTACAAAAATATGCAATCTCTGTCTAAAATTTTACTGACTTTGAAAAATAATCCGAAGAAAAATCCGTGAGATTTTCCGGTAGAATAGCCCAAAAGTTCTCAATAATATTACAAATTTAGAGGAGGAATATGGCAACATTGAAGTGTGGTTACATTCTTTCATGGGGTAAAACGAGGAATTATGCCGACTCGAGTTGAGAATCCGAGCCGAGAAACATTTTTCAAAGGAGTCTCATTGAAGATTTTATTTATAAGAGGAGTGAAGCTTTATAAGGCTCCTAATATGGCAGAACAATAAATTAGATTACAATAAATAACACAAATTCCATCTTTTGTCATAGATAACGTTCATGAAATAGAAAATTCACTCAAAGTCATGGTCGGGAGAAGATAAATTTTTATGAGTTTGAGACATAGGTACACAGAGAAGTTTGCAATGACCATATTTTTGGCAAGTTTGTTTAAAGTTGACTGCACCTGCTCTAGGTTCGACTAGGTCCTTTCTGGAATCTATCTGTTTAATTTACAAATACACATGCTTGTGACGTTAAATGCAGCTTGTTTCGTTACGAGTGTGTTGCGCTGAGACACTAAACCACGTGATACAACTATTTTGACTTCACGGTGGCACAAATTGCCTAAGCACCGAATTGAAGGATAACTGCTTTCTCTCACATTTTTATTACGATTATTTTGTGCTAAGGCACTAAATCACGTGACACAACTTTTTTGAGACTCCACTCCGTAAGAATGGTTTCGATTACTGCATAACCACCAAATTGAAGGATAACTGAGTTTTCTAGTTTGTTTACTACGATGTTGGGATTACTATGCTATAGTGTTGGTCTAATCGTGGCAACATGCTGATCTCAACAAAGTGCCATGTTTTAGTCGTGGCAACATGCTGATCTCAACAAAGTGCCATGGTTTAATCATGGCACCGTGTTTTACCCACCGGACCGGGTAACACCGCTAAGACCTACTGTCTATCAAGAAGGCATCTCAAAGTTTGCCGGCGCCAATGCTAGCCTCAAAAACTATTCACTTTAAACGCATACGATGTAATAATCGTGCTAATTTTGGCTTGAAAAATCATACCTATACATTGAAGAGCCAGCGAGAGAGTTGCCAGGAACTTCTCCTATTACTTAAGGTGATTCGACGGTTGCCATTGTTTGTGGTCAGAGCGACGTGCAAAATATTGGATCAATTCGTTCCATCATTTCAGTCACTTGTTATTTTTTTCGTATTTTCAGATCTCACTTCTGTTGTCATGAGACTAAAGAATTCATGTACCAAATTTGACAAAAAAATTCAACGTAATAAAAGCAGGGTTTTTTTTAGAGGAAAAATGTCGCATTCGATACTGCTATCGAAACTGCACTCAAATGCGATAAAAAAAACCCTGATAAAAACCCTGCCTTTAATATACGTTGAATTTCTTTGTCTAAATTCTTTAAGTCTCGTGACAATAGAAGTGCGATCTGAAAATTTGAAAAAAATGACAAGTCGCTGAAACTACGGAAGGAATTGATGCGATATATCGCACGTGGCTCTGACACAAAAAATGGTAAGCGTCGAATCACCTTATAGGACTCTGAATCATGGGTACTTGGATGTGGAGAAGAAAGTGGAGTTTACCTTGGAGTAGGCGAGTTCGGGCTGGTTGTAGGCGGAGGGCCAGCCGACCTCAGGCCAGGAAGGAGTGAGGCCGGCGGTGGCCGAGGTGAGGTCCACGACACCGGTCGAGGCCGAAGGCCACCCTGAAGAGGCCGAGGGCCACCCTGAAGAGGCCGCCGACGGCCAACCTGATGGGGACGCCCAGGACGGCGAGGGCCACGTCGGGGTTGACGGCCACCCTACCGCGCCCAGGCCCAAGTGCCGCTTCTCCACTCCTTTCTTCTCGTCCGTCTGGGCCAAGAGCACCAGCGACGAAATCACAGCCACCTGAAACATAAAACAACGTTTTCTTATCCTAATCCAAACTTCCCAAGTAACACAGGTTGCAGCAACTTGCAAAAAAATCGTTGGATTCTTCCAACCAATAGATTGACGAGCAGATTACCTACTCCTTCCTCCGAAGGAGCTAGCATTCTTGGAACTTGTTGCAATTAAGTTGAATCATGTTCCAAATCCAATATCGGCCCCGGTCCTTACAAGAAATTTTGGTAAAAACATCAACTTTTCAGAATTCTACCTACGCTGGAAAGTTTCGAAGTACTTGGCACGCTGTTAAAGATTCGCATTTATCAGCATTTTGGCAACGTTGGTAAAATCAAGAATTCCCGAGATTTGAGGCGTTCATGTAAAAATCCAGACTTTTCGAGATTTTGGTGACATTGGTCAAAATTCACCCTTTTCGATAATTTTGGCAACATCATCGTAAAATTTTAAATTTCCGCGCCTATCGACGTCCAAAAAATGTATATAGTTTCCGAGAATGCTGAAAATTTCGAGAAGTTGCATATCCTGACTTCTCTAGAATTTTGGCAACGTCCGTAAAATTCGAAATTTTCACGTTTTTGAAAATCATGACTTTTCGAGAATTCAGGCAACGTTGTGGCAAAATTCAGAATTTCCGCAAAATTTGACAACGCAGATGAAGTTTAGCAATTGTACACATCTTGGCAACGTCAAAAAGTTGCAAGATTCCTGGAATTCAATTGCTCTAAGTTGTGACTTTCCTCCCTATCAGATCGCCGAAAATCGGCACTTATCGACCAAAAGTTGACAGAGAGTTGCAACTTAGTTGCGACTTTTACCCAATATTGTCTCAACTTCTTGCAGCTTTAACTACTTTGGAAAATGCTACTTGGGTTCCATTCCGAATTCGCCTCACATTCATTGTGAAAAAAAATTATGATTAAAATGACCAAATTACTATTCCACAAAAAGACTTGGACCAGTGCACACTGCACCACTCCTGTCTCCTCCAGGGTTCTTGCCCCTCTTCTGAGTGATCCCTCAATATTTTGGGAGTATGTGATTCTGAATAGTGCGAGAATATCTCAACAAAAGCTGGCTCGTGGTAAGTCAACATGGGCTCGCCTATTGCAAAATTTGTCTAGATAAAGCTTGTAAAAAGGAGGAATCATTTGTAAAGTCCGGCAAATATGTTTAGTAGCAAGAGAGAAAAAAGAAAACTAGGTGAATGGGTCATTTTTTGGCGGCTCATGAATCGTGAAAGACCAGATACCTGCTGCCGCACTGGAAGAGCTCCAAAGAGATTTGGAAGGCCATTAAAAGATTAAGCAGGCCACACACTCATCCACCCTTGAGTTCGGGGAGGCTTAGCATAGTTGGCGCATCATCAGTAGGATCAATTTTAGATTTTAATCGATTATCTCTTAAAACTATCCTCATAATATTGATAATATTATATTTGAGGCACATAGTATGAAAACAAGACGCGCATATTTTTTGACGAAACTAAGTCGAAAGATCCACTACGGGGCTGTTCATAAATTACACAGCGCGAATTTTCTGATTGTTTGTCACCTACCTACCCCTTGTATGACGCGATCGTCACGCTAGTTTAGACATCCCCAAAATACAAATAATTAGCATCATTGTCCTTAATGCCGCTCCTTTTCAACCCCAAAATAACTCGGAAGATACGAATGTTCGTGTGGTCTTCAAAAATTGGCAGCTAATAAATCAAATTCAAATATGATTAAGAAATGAATGTTTGCGGCATTTAATGAAGAAATGAGTGTGTATTCAAAGGAACGAAATTCAAGGAGAGATGCTGTGAAAAATAAAGATGTAAGCAACGCGATCTTTTACGTGGTCGACTAGTGGTATCATCGTTAACACACACAAAAAATGTATTTTTACCGGACCAGAGGAGATAACTTAGACTCTATTTCAGTTCGCCTTCAATTCATAAAGTAGGCAACACGAGCTCTCCTGTGGCCGAATAGCATTATCATCGTGAAAAGGCACTCTTTATCGTAGGCAACATGGATTACATTTTGCAATAAGGAATAGCTAATTCTGGCTCTCCCATAAAAGCGCATATCTGCATAGGGAAACTAATGTCATGTATGCTGTTTCTAAAATAGGCCAGAAATAGTGGCTCCTTATTGCAAAATGTAATCCATATGGGCTGGGTTCCCGCTTGTGATCGAATAGTATGCTGTCACTGTAAATGCTACGCTTATGACTCGAGATGAGCCAAGAAAATTTGAGCTTATTTCAATACTTACTCCAGTAAGAGTTAATGTTACTCGTAAAATGAATAGTTTAGTGTAACGCCACCCGCAATAATGAAAGTAAATATTAATTGATGGTATTCAACACCTCTCGCTGCTTAAAGATCAGGTTTCAATCGAAAAGTTACAGCTGTGGACACCTCCTTGACAGTGCCCTCATAAACGCGATTGCGTCACGTGACATTTGGAGATGCGAGCGCAAATCAAGGAGCCTCTTGAGTTGAATGTTATGAAGCTGATGTGCTCCCAGGTGATATTAAAAACGGCTCCAGATACCCAACGAACCAAGCAATGTAGGAAGGATTCTGCTCCGATGATGATCTCTTCACAGATTTTGCCCACCTCCGACTTCAGCTCGGCGCTTGTGACTCGTTGCAAAACCGTTTGCAAAGTTATTCCTTAGAGATCGTCGTTGAAATTACCTCGGTAATGTTGTGCAAATATTGCATTTGCGCCATTCTTGGTTCCTACCGTGGTGCTTTTCTAACAAAACAGGACCATCCCAAATAAGTGTAAAGCGAGAATTCACTTAAAATTTTCGAGATATTAATGCCAGGTACGTCGCTTGTGAATGTGTCTGCGATGTAGCTTGTAAATAATATAGTCCTTAATATACTGAAAATATTTCCAGGCAATGTCGAAATACTTATGAAGCTCTCTAAGGGTTCACGCACAGAAAAACGGAAAATATCCTACAAAAGAAGAAAGTGACTAAAATTTAGAGTTTATGGCACAGCTTACATTTTCAATTTTAATGATACAAATATGAAACGAGGTGGGAGTGGTTTGATATTACATTAATATTGATGATATCGATTGAAGGATGAACAACCAGATTACCTAGTAGATGAATTAGTAAATAACAGGAAAAGGAGCCTGTTGTTATCGGTGGATTAGTCAGCGTGGAAATCTAAAAAGTAAAAAAAAAATATGAAATGAGTATTTTTGCGGAGTCCTTTTCTTTATGAGGACTTCCACCGCCAGAGGAGGATTACGCAAAAAATCTAAAAATTTAAAACCACAAATCACCGTAGCGGGTCATCCCAAGCAAAAACTTAACATGAGATTATAAATCTTACTCTACGGTATAAAATCATAAGATTATAAGGCGTAAGGACTGAGGCGCGAGGCACCTCGCGGGGTTGGACCGCGAAACGCTCAGGGAGCGGAGCCCCCTCGTTTGCTTATGAATTCAATGCAAATGAAGCAGAATTATGAGCTTCGGTCGCCTAACTCACTTAATGCTCTTTCAGGAACATTAAAGGCCTCATTGCCGAAGCTCATCGAAGCTTTATTCATTAAGTGGACTTTTTTCTTTTCCTGTAAAATTTGATTCCTTGCACTTGTTGGGTTTTATTATCGACTGATTAAAGCACTGGGCACTTACGTTTGTTGATATAAGAGGAATTATTGGGAGCAATTAGTGGAGGTAGTTACGCTTAAGTAGATAGGGAGGGAGGGGGGGGGGGGGGTCGAGTCAGGCGCAGGACATATCGTTGCTGCTCTGGCGTAAGGGCGTATCTGGATTTTCACGTGAGCCCTGGTTTTCACATTAGTGCATGCTTTCGGGGGCTCATACGGAAATGGAGGTGCCTCACATGCACATGAGAGGAGCGAGAGTATGAGGCGAACGTGGCGTCCGTCGCAGGGCGGCGCGCGGCGCGCTGTCGCGTCTTTCCGGGCGCAGCTCTGTAACCTGTAACTATGAGTTACGAGTAACTCTGTGGACACACGTTTATGTTCACTATGTCCTACCCGACATACCTCGCGAGAGTAGAGGCATTGCTGTCAAATTACACCCTGATATGGTGATAGGCATGCCCCTTTCTTTTTCTAGACCTACAACGTACATTAGTAAAATGTCCAGGTATTATGAAGCCATTTTCGCTCTTTACGTTTTCGTTAAGGTCCCTTCTTTAAAAGCAAAACACTAGCCACTGTGATTCGATTTCTGGAGGAAAAAAGGGACAAATTATTGGATGAGAAAACAAAATGTATACACAATTTATGACTGAGAGGGAGAGGGATCGTTTTATTGTTTGCATTTTTTACCCACAGCGTTGAGCTTTTTCCCAACAAAAAACATTCAAATATTTTTGACGATCCAGCATCTACCCTTGAGGCTCTCTTTCTGATTGCCTTAGCCATCTGAGAAGCTCCATTGGACAGTTTCGGACCCATAAAAATTTGGTGGACTTGGCAAGAAGATCACTCAAAACGATTAAAAATGTACTCTCATGTGCATGCAGTATCATAAATTTTTACGCTAATTATATAGTTAGGTTTGCTCACTCAGTTTCAATAACAATTTTGTAGGACATCAGAGAGGACATCTCGTCAAAGGACGCCTTGAAAAACAAACCGTTATGGGGCATCTGTGAAATTTTCCAGCTCGAAAGGGGGGCTCGCGAGATTTTCCTGGCATCCAAGGGGGCCCAGGGGGCTTGCCTCAGCAAATTTTGAAGAATTGAGTCGTCTCAGAGGGAATTCAAGCAATTCTTATCACGAACTTGATCGCATTAAAATTTCACATCTGAATTTGCCGCACACTTATTTACCGAAATCCCTCGCATTTCTTGGGAGGAGTCAAGTCAATTTTTGGAGGGAGTATGCCCCCGTTTAGCCCTGTACCCCCACGGGGCCCTCTGAGGCCGAGTGGCCGGTGAAAAAGCCAAGGTTTGAAGCGAAAACGCGCAACTGAGGGCATGCACTTACAGAGGAGTGCACGACGGC